ATTATTTTCTAGCTTTATATCTTTATCCATTATTCATGTGTTCAAATACATTACTTGCTTCTTCTTTTTTTTTTAGCTAATACAAGCATTTTATTTATTTAGAACATAATTATTACAAGGAGGGGATGGAACGTACAGTTCCAGTGCCCCGCAAAGTCCAAAAGTAAGTACGGCAAAACAAAAGGTGGGGATATCAAAAAACTACAAACATCAGCAGGTTGTGTAAGACTAAGCTCCTTGCCAAAATGTGCCAGTATTACCCTTCCTGTAGGTGTGATTGAGCTGTGGCATACGTAAGTCACGCAACATCAACCTGCAAGCATGAAATAGATGTGAGTATTTCGGAATACCTTGTGGTAGTAGTGTGAGAAGTACTTGCGTGTCTGTTTTCACTATGAGCGGTAGCAAGTTGTTGGTAATAGCAATTTGTAATCCATGAAAGAGGGCAAGATCTTCCCCTTCTACTCCCTCCGTTTCATATTAAATGAGGTACTGGGAGTGAACTTTTTGATATCGGGGTTGGATTGGATTTCCGGAAGTTGGAGTTCGGTGTCATTTATGACTTGTGTGCAAAATTTGAGGTCAATTGAACGTGATTTGATAGGTTTCGACATCGTTTGTATAATTTAGAAATTTCAAAGTTTATTAGGCTCGAATTCGTGTGTAATTGGTATTTTTGATGTTGTTTGAGGTGATTTGAGGATTCGACTAAGTTCATATCGTGATTTAGGACTTGTTAGTATGTTCGGTTGAGGTCCCGGTGGCTTCGGGTTGATTTCGGGTGGTTAACGGACTTGGTTTTGAGTTGGTGAAGCAGCTGAAGTGTTGCTGCTACTAGTGTAACCACACATGTGGAGTGGGCATCGCCGGTGCGAGCTCGCAGAAGCGGGGCAAAAGCCGCAGAAGCGACCAAGGGAGAGTTGAGCGTAGGTAGTAGGTGCGAAGATTTTCCTGTACCTGCATGGTCGCAGAAGTGGGCAGAAGGGCGCAGATGCGGGCTAGATCCGCAGGTGCGATGGAATTTCTGCACCGCAATATGCACAGATGTGGTCCAGTGCTCGCAGTAGCGGAGTCAGCTAGTTAAGTGAATTTCGTAGAAGCTGAGATTTTACCGCAGAAGCGGCCCCGGAGGTGCGGATTATAATGACCCGACCGGTCGTTCACCTTTCTAGAACCCCGTTCCCCCAAATAACACTCTCCGTATTTGATTTAACTAATTTATGACCTGCGGGGATGGTTGGTTCGGGATTTGGAAGGGTTTGGATTGAAATATGCACATTTGACTCCTTAGGATTTTGTTAAAAGGCTAAGTTTGACTTTGGTGAACATTTTGAGCAAACGGGCCCAGATTCGTGTTTTGACGGTTCCGGAGGGTCCGCGGGAAAATATGGGACTTGGGCGTATGT